ATATACTTTTTTATAAAGATAATAATTAAGTATTTTGTTGTAACTAATGATTATCCTAATTATATTTTAAATTTTTTATATTCAAAATGAAATGTTTATTCCGTATTTGATTATGTTTATCTATAGTTAGTTATATAAAAGTAAAAAATGAAGCTTTAATAAGTTGTACTTACACACGATTTACTTGTGATTTTGAATTTTAAGTAATATGCATCAATAAATAGTACTTTATGCATTAAAAAATGGTTTTTAAGAGTTTTTGTCAAATATTTTATAATATAATATAGATTATAAATATCGTAGATAAAATATCTGAACAAAGTTTGAGTTTATATGTTTAAAACTCGTATATAAACTCACTTCACCTCGTTTAATAAACTTGAATTTTAATGGTATGGATTTCTATGCATTTAGATTAAGTAGTTGACTTGATATTATTCATTGTGAATCATAATTGCAATTTTCAATCTTGAAAGTCAAAGGTAATCAATATTCACAAATGAATAAAACATGATTTTTAATTTAGCATCTAATATAAATGGGCTTCTAGATGACAAATTTAAATATTTAAAATGTTTTTTTATACTTTATTAAGTATTAAAAAATTAAGCATACCAATATATTATAACTAAATTGATTCCTAAAATGCCCTTCTAGATATTCTTTGATATCTGAGTTGTTTATAAAGTTAAAATATCGTTTGTTGTCGATAAAAATGAGAGAATTTTGTAGGAATGTTATAGGATTAGTTCGTTTTTTTATCCAGATGGTAATAACTTCATCTATTGAGGTGGCGTTTGATTTATAGAACGAAATCTGTTAGAAAAAATTAAAATGAAATTTAATCGGGTTTGATCATGCGTTTGTCGGCATAATTAGGATGAAATATGTGTTAAGAATTAGAATCTATTTATTTGATTTGTTAAATATTGCTTTAGGGTTATGATAAAATAGTGATAAATTACCAAAATACCCCTTTAAGACATTCTCATATTTTACTGCTTAATTTATAAATTTTTGGTGGCAATGGCAACAATGGCATAGACGATGGTGATGGTGGCGGTGGCAAAGACAGTAAGGGTGGTGGCGATGATGGTAGCAGTAAAGGTGGTGGTAGTGATGGGTGGAAGCTGTGACGATTGTCATGGTAGGATTAGATAGAGTAGAGTAAATACAAGGACATAATAGTCTTTTTAGAAATTTTAGATAAAATAAAATAATAATTCTTTATCAAAACCCAATAAATTTAAATTTCATTATATATAAAATTTAGAATTCCATACTAAAACTCATAGAATAAATCAATTGTATGAATAAAATTTATCAAATTTCAACAAACAAAACTACGTAGGAATAATCTGACTTAGGATCACGTGAGACCAAACTGTTTACATGAGACACATGAGACCATTTTTTTACATTTGAAACTTCATAACAGAAGTTATGCTACAGAACACTGTGAAGGTTCGGAATTTTTTTTAACGTCAGCGTGTTTTAATGTGAAGTTTCAAGTGTAAAAAAACCGGTCTCATAGATCTCACAAAAACAATCTGTTCTCACGTGAACCTAACCCGAGATAATCTTATCTAACAAATCTTAATAAAAAGTAATATAATATATTAAATATATATTAAATTGCTTTGGGGTTGACTAATTGCCTTTTGGACATGGTGGATTGGTGGTGACCACTTTGCTATGATGAAGAAATTAATATTAAAAATATAATACTTTATATTATATTATTAAATAATTAAAACGGGTTCTCGGTTAGATTCGATATTTTATATTTGTCTTTATTGATATACAAGAAGTCAAAATTCGTTTCGGTTTTCATACGACATCGTAAAATGTTCGGTTTTGAAGCTCGTTGGTCAAACACGATTTTCGTGAAGTAATACTCCCGACAATTACAAGACTAAAATACCCGTTTTTTATTTCATTATTTTTGTCGTTAGACTCGTTCCGTTGAAAAAACCGATGTTTCTTAATGCATCGATGTTACTATAAAAAGTCAAGAAATATAATAAAATTCTAATAAATCATATTAAAGATAATAATAATTGATTTCCGATTGATTCGATATTTTATGTTTGTCTCTATTGATATACAATAAGTCAAATTCGTTCGTTTTCATACGACATCGTAAAAATGTTCGGTTTTGAAGCTCGTTGGTCAAACACTACTTTCGTGAAGTAACGCTCCCGTCAATTTCAAGATTAAAATACCCGTTTACTATTTCATTATTTTTGTCGTTAGACGCGTTCAATGAGAAAAATGATCTTTCTTGATATATCGATATTACTGTAAAAAAAATAAAAAAATATAATAAAATTCTAATAAATCATATAAAAATCATGTTCAATTTCCTCGTTCGGTGTCCATCGTTAAATTAATAAGAAGGCGTTTGAGTTTGCTTATTTAAAAAACTTATGTTTTTCTACAAAAGTCTTTATCAACTTATTATAAGTTAGAATAGTTTAACTTCTTCAAAAACTCTTTATTACCGGTTTGACACGGGTATAAGCTATTTATCCAAATACTTTAAAATGCTTATTACTTATGTCATATCGAAATAAGTCAATAAGTTGTTTTTGTAAACAAACTCAACTCCTGGGATTAAATATAAAAATATTAAATCCAAAATGAATTTATTATTTAAATTAAATAATATTTTTAATATTTTTCTCGACAAGATTTTTAATTATTTTAAAATTAATTATGGATATTAAATTCGAAAAAAAATAGGTATCGGAAATTAATAAATGGAAGGATACCGACAAATATATGAAGAAGGGTATCGTGTTATGAATGGTCGACTGGATGCCATTTTTGTTTTTTTTTTTGTTTTTTTTCATAATTTATAAATAAAACTTATGTAAATATAAAATATAGAGCAAATTGTATGAAAATATAACGTATTTTAACTTGATTCATATTTTAAGTAACGTATTTTTGAAACTTTCATTTTGGTATCCAAGATGTAAAGTTTTAAAAATTTAAGTACCCGGGTAACCGGTTGAAGACTAATCTTAGATTAAAAAAAATTCATGTCACTAACCACGTCAACAAATAATATTGAGTTGAATACCACATCACTCGCCACATCAGCATGAATAACCGGTTAATGCTTTAATCGGTTACCCTTGTACTTAAATGTTTAAAGTATTACATCTTAGGTACCAAATAAAAGTTTTGAAAGTATGTTACCAAAATAGGAACCAAGTTAAAGTATAAAATATAAAATATAGAATAGGACAGGTTCAAATAAAAAGATTAAGTAACCGTTTATCAAATGTTTACTTGGGTAAGTGAACACCAAATCATGTTACCTTACCGGATGAATACGAATGAGTTATATAGAGATGAAGAATAGATTGAAAAAATATATATATGTATATAATATATATATATATATATATATATATGAAAAGGATACCTAATAGTATAATTGTCTAATGTATATATTAATATAAACTCAACAAATATATTATATCTAAAAAATAAAAGAATATTGGGTTTGTCGGGCTGATTTTGGTTCAAATAATAGTAACCTAATATCAACCCAATACCTACGGTTTAAAATTTTTATAACTCGTTTAGACATCGGGTTACTTCGAGTTAAGTTATTTTGCATTAGATTGAGTTGTGATGATCATTTGAGTTCGCATGAATCACGTTCTGATTTGAACCCATCACGTTATAAATAAATTCAAAATTGTCTTCGTATGTTACCCACCTTAATGAAGCTATGAAACCGTAATATACTTTGAATCTGATCAGCCGTGTGAGAGCTCATCAATATTCCGACGTGTGACAGCGACCGGCGGCGGCGGTGGTGGTGGTGGTCGTCGTTTTCACGCGGACTCTCGTATCATCATCGTCGATCCCACCAAATATCTTCATCATCTTAATGCCGAATCTCCCCAAAATATCTTTGACCTTTCTCTCATCCTCACACTCCAATCAAAACCCCCCAATTTCATCATCCAAATGCATCATCAACCCTTTTCATCTCAAATTATGAGTATGAACCCTCAATTTCCAGAAAACGAGCATCTCAATTGCCCTAGATGCGATTCCAGTAACACCAAATTCTGTTATTACAATAACTACAATCTCTTACAGCCTCGCCATTTCTGTAAGAATTGTCGACGTTATTGGACCAAAGGCGGAACTCTCCGTAACATCCCCGTCGGCGGCGGAACTCGTAAAATCAACAAACGATCTCCGATCTCCAGCAAACGACCAGCTGATTCTTCGCCTCCTACTTCACCGGCGACCACTCCACCGCCACCGTCAGCGTCAGGTGAATCGGAGACGGAACGCTCGGGGATTTTCAGTTATGGTAATAATCAGAGGAAATTGGATGGTGGAAGTTTCAATTTGATGATGAGATCGAATCACAGGATGCAATACGGGAGTTTTGTAGATGGTTTGAGATCGAATTTGGGCGGTGGATCTGAAGAGGATGGTTTGATCGGAACTCCGGCGAGTGACGTGTACCAGAAAAAGCATTTGAGTTTGAACGATGAAGGCGGAAGTGGTGGCGGAAGAGAAGAATCGAGCGGTTGGAACGGTGGTGGGAATGGGTGGCCGAATCTTTCCATTTTCACACCAGGTTCCAACCTCCATTAGAGCTTAATTTTTAATAATTTATTAAAAATATATATAAATCATTAAATATTTTTGCTAAATTAATTTTGTTATTTTATGTACTTTTTACTTCTTATTATAACTGTGGGTATCTGGATCAGCTTATCTGTACTGAATAATCTTTCGAATGATCACGGATGGTTTGAAAACTAGAGTCATCCTAGCTGAAGTTGTTCATGGCGGGATAGCCTGCTAGACCCACCCTGATTCGTCAGCTAGAAAAGCAGGCTTAGGGTCTGTTTTTTTTTTCCAAAATTACCTCTTAATACCTCTGAAGTCTGATTCGTTCAGACGTTTGGATATCAAGAACGTTTGTTTTATTTTTAAAATAAGAGCTTAAAAGTTCTGAATGTCCTCTAAAATTTTAAGTGGTAAACATATCTCTTAATACCTCTTCAATGATTCAATCTAATCCGCCCTCTATCAAATGGTTCATATTTTGGGGGCGGGAAGTGGTTTTTCAGTAAAAAAATATTTTATCTTTTATACTTTTGTAAAAAAAAAATTAATCCTTTATATTTTGCACTGGTTTGACCAATTCAGATTTCACGAGAAGTAAAAACATACAATCTTACTGGTCCAGATTTCAGACTTCAGGATCACCTCTTATAAATCAGAAGTGAAATTTGACTGCAGTACCTTTTAAAAAATAAACGACACCCTAAACTATTAGTTTCGAAGAAAATGGACGGGTCTGGATTGATTTGTTAAAATTAATCAGGGTATGGGAGATGCAAAAATATGAGTAAGCCCGTGAGATTCGTTAATATTTTTATAATTAATCTACTCTTGGAAATTTTTTATAGATTGTACATTGTTATGTATTTATGTCTGATTTTAACTTGGAAAAATTGTTATGTGTTTGAATTATTTTACATAACCTGTGATTTTATATAAGATTTTTTTCTTAAAAATATAAAAATATTTTTAGGGTCGAAAACTCATGGGCAAGCCCGCCCATTTATAGGGCAGGCAAGGACAAATTTTCAAACTCATAAAAAAGGCTTGGATTTGCTATATTAAGTCGGTTGTACAAGAAAAAGAGGTTAGGTCCGACCCAAACCCATAATTATCAGCTTCAAGGTGAGCCTCCATGACCATAGAGGTTTTGGGCCTTTGGGAGGGTATATTTTTTTTGGATTAACCTGGATATTCAACCCGCTACGCGAGCCAACTAATCCCAGGACGACCACCCGCTATGCGAGCCAACTAATCCCAGAACGACCACCCGCTTCACGGATAGCCTGGAGTCACTGTATTTGAACCTACGTGGCTATAAGAAGATTTTTATTTCTTCTTTGAATCAAATCTGGGTCCTCCAAACACTATCTTTGGAGTCCAAGCTCAAACCTATCGTGCACCGTTCTTGTGGTTGGCAGGATACCTTTTGGTCCTTCTGCTACAGTATCATACTAAATGCATGTTTTATATAAACCGGCCATAAAAATTCTTGACGGGATGAGTAATTGAAAACCTGCGTACTGCGTAAAACTAGTAAAGAATATGACGTTCATTTTTTATAATTATAAAGGTTCTGTAAAACAAAATGAGAAAAAAAACAACTAAAATTCTAATGACCATATAAATTTAAAGAACATATTCGAATATTTGCATAATAGATTTGTTATTTGGAATAATTATCGGGAAGGTATGTATATCGTTGTTGTTTTTTTAAGTATATAATACTTACATACGACAAATAAAACAAATAAATTTACATACCCTTCTCACATTTATGAGGTTTGAACATTTGACTTCCTAGGAGGCCAAAGACTCATATACCGTTAGACCGAAGACATATATATATATATACATATATATATCATACGAGCCTTGTTTATTGCTTTTCTTTTACGCTTTCGTCTTCTAACTCTTTTTTTCGCATGATCCTTCGTAAATCTTATGATGAACGATAATCATTACCATTCAAGATTATCATCATAAACACCATCAGGTTCTCAAAACTTAGGGTGTAAACGAGTGGAGCTTTTAACGAGCTACTCGAGCTCGAGCTTAATAATTATCGAGCTCGATTTGATCTCGAACATAAAATAAAGCTCACATAACTTAACAAGTCGAACTCCATAACACCAATGTTCAACTCGACTCTAACTCGTTTGAAAGTTCTACGAGTCAAACCGTTCAAGCTCTCACTTTTTCAAGCCAAACATTTTTATATGCTTACAAATTATATAAACAGAACATAAAAATTATCAAGCTTATAAACGAGCATCGAGCTCAAGCTCAAACATGGAAAAATATTGGAGCTCAATCTTGAACCCGACTTTGAAAAAGTTAATCGAGCTCGAGCAAAGCTCATCCCGATACTAATTTTTTCGAGCCGAGCTCGAATAAGCTGAAGCTCGACTCGACCTCCTACTTGAAACATTGCCCTAAAACAAAAGCAATGAACAAACAACATTACCCATCAAACAAGTCTTGTATTTATATTTATCACTAAAAAAAGTTTCAAACCACATCAAACACAATTGTTTGTGACATCCAAACCTCAGGGTTTGTTCTTCACTCCCAAGTTCTACATTGGTATAAACTAAATAAATGTTCGAATAATCAAATTACACAATGCTAACGGAAATATAACGTTACATGGCAACGGTACGAGCCTTGTACATGCAAATGTAAGCCATATGCCAATCACCTGAAAACAATCAATCCAGATCAAACTTGTTTGTTAGCAGCTTGATGAGACTCATAGCTTATTCGGTCAGCTATAAATGATTGTTTGATAGTGGTTTAATGATAAAAGAATTGGCTTATGCAATAAGCTTCTAGTGGGGAGCTTTATGTAGAAAGCCAAAAATTTCTCAAACCTAGCCCTCCCAATTAAAAAACACGCCCATTCAGCCATTCCATCTATATGAGAAAACCCTTCCAAAATCTATACACAAAGATTAATCCACATTCCACACAAACAGTTTTATCCCTGTAAGACTTGACGCCTGTTTGTTAGCAGCTTAATGGGACTCATAGCTTATTCGGCCAACCATACATGACTCTCTAGTCGTGGATTAATGATATAGAAATTGGTTTATTCATAAGTTTTGCCGGGGGGACTCCATGCAGAAAATCAAGTTTTTTTCAAACTTGTCACTCTATTAAAAACACGTTATTTCCATATATGAAAAAACCGCCTCATACTAGGAAAACCAACCAAACAACCCATAGTCATATTGGGAAACTTCAAATGAGAACCATAAATATTTTGACATCAGAACCAATTATTTCATGTATTACTCATTATTATCATAATGCATCTTCATTATGTAACATGAAGAGTTAGTTGGTTCTCAGGTTCTCAAAATATTTATGGTTCTAATATGAGCGTGCCTGGTTGGACTAATTACAATAATAAATTAGAAACCATCAAATGGGATCTTTTGGAGCAAACGATTCATACCTCCTCCAGAAAGCTTTGTTATATCTTCTTCCCTTTGTGGGATAGGATTATCATCGTCGAACTGGATCCATTTCCCTATAAAAACGTCAATTATTAGCTCGTTTTTATCTCATGTAGAACAGGTTCCAACAAATGTAAACCAAAATAATACGATTTTTTTTGCTAAAATAAGATGAAACAGACACGGACTGACCATTTTCTTGCTTGACCCAAGCAACGTAATGACCTGAATCGGCACTTCGGCCTTTATGAGTCAGCACAGCGACCAAATCATATACTCCGGTCAACTGTGTTTTCTTATCAGACACGACACCTGAAAAAACAAAAATGAATGGTAAAATCTAAAAGGATGACACACAACTGTGCACAAAAAAAAAGATATAACAGGGGAAAGAAAAGTCCTGGACGCCATTTGGTAAGCAGACGGGAGTGGACAGGACTGAACAGACAAATGTGAGATGGTGGGTGAAAGAATTTTGTAAGGTTTTAGGGTTTTATGGTCAGTTTATTAGCAGATTAATGAGCTTAATGGGACTCGCAAATTATTCGGTCAGCTATACATGATTGTTTGGTAGTGGCTTAAGGATATAGAAAGTGGCTTATTCATTAAACTTCTAGGAGAAGCTTTATGCAGAAAGCCAAGTTTTTTCCAAACCTGCTCATCCAATTAACCACTCTCCTTCCATCTATGGAAAAACCCTCCAAAACAAAAACCTTCCCAATCTATAATGACAGATTAATCAACATAAACAGTTTTATCCTTACAAAACTTGATGGAAAATCAACCAAACAACCCCTTAATTTGACATGGGTAGTTTGTGTATTCCATCAATCTTGTCTCATCTCCTTGATTTTAGTTCCACCTATTTTGGTGGGACAAAAAAAAAACTCAGTCGTGTTCTGTTCTAGTATAATGTAGCGCCAAACATGGAACAAGTTTTTGTTTTGTCCTATCCCGTTCTATCCCACGTACTAAACGCAAGTTGAAGGGTGGATGTATGCCAAAGCATACAACGCAATGTAAAAGCCTTATATCCAGTTGGTCTAGTTGCCAAAAATATAGATTTTATATAAACGGAACTTCATAGAAAGACGTTAACCTTCTCCGGAAGTAGCTTTAGATGATTCTCCGCTTCCATTCTGCATGAACAAAATTCACAATGTGTATTTTTCTAAGCATGTCCATGTGAGATTTGGAACATTTACTTAAATTGTAACCGAATATATATATATATATATATATATACCTCTGCATCAGACATCTTAACATCATTGTCCACTGAAGCAGAGCTCTTTTCTTTGAGTTTCAAACCAGCCTTTCTACCGTCTTCATCTCTTAGCATCTACAAATACCAAAAAGTTAAATCAAAATGACAAATATGAGCATTATTTCTTCCCTTTTTAACTTGCATATGAAAAAAGAAGCAACAAGTAACTATAAGAATGTTGTTTTATATGTGAATTTAAAAACCAAGATCATTGAAAACGCATAGAAGTATTTAAACTAGTCTAAAAACAATCCAAAGTGCTTGCCATATAACTCAGTGATGGATAAGTAATGAGCTTAATGAACTCGCAACTTATTCGGTCAGCTATCCATGACTATTTGGTAGTGGCTTAATTATATAGAAAGTGACTTATTCAGCAAGCTTTTCGGGGGGGAGCTTTATGCATAAAGTCAAGGTTTTCCAAACCTGCTCCCAATTAAAAAGCACGCTTCTCTGAAGAAGAAAAATCTCTCCCAAATAAAAACCTTCAAAATCTATACAGACAGATTAATCCACAAGACATCTTTATCCATACAGGACTTAATGAAAAACCAACCAAACAGCCCCTAACTTATGTATTGGTGTTTGCTAGGGCCAAACTTACAAACCTGACGAGGAGCTTCCAGCTGTTTGCGGAGATCATCTGAACAAAGATCAAAAACATCCAACTCTAATGGATAATCCACTTTCTGAAAAACCAAGCACAGATAATCAATAAAAACTTCATTTTGGAGGAAGAGTGATCAAATTAAGGGCCAAGAGCTTCAATGATTTATCTTCCACGTAGTAACCCCACAAAAGCAGAGTAATTAAATGCATTCTTAATAATTAAATTGTTCGATAGATCGGGATAAGTTTATTACCCTCAAAATCTTTGCTTTCTGATTAGATTCCCTCTTCCAGAAAAATCGAACAAACTGAATAGTTAAGTACCTTGCATAAAAGCAAATAGTTTAAGAAGAGTCAAGATATGTCCGAAAATTACCAATCTAAAACAGAGTCCATGCATTCTCACATAAATCGAGGGGAGAGAGGAGTTGCGAGACAATAACTTAAGCCTAACTAGGGGTTTCCATTGGGGATAACTACAAAAATGACCATTTTGAGAAGGGTCGCATATTAATTTCACAAAACCCCTTAAATTCCGCAAATTCACTTTTATTGGCTTAAGATTTAGGGTTTTGAGATATTCTTGCAAATTTTCGCAAAGTTTCCCTTTTTTGTGTAATTCCATTTTGTATGAGCCCACCACAAACAAGATTTTGCCAAAAAGAGGAAAGCTTTAGCTAAAGTCAATGTAAACCTCTCTTAAGAATTCACTTTTATTGGCTAAAGAATTTAGGGTTTTGAGATATTCTTGCAAAATTTCGCAGAGTTTAGCTTTTTTGTGTAATTCCATTTGGTATTGAAATCCATCACAAACAAATTTTCACAAAAAAGAAGGAAAACTTCAGAGGAAGTCAATGTAAACTTCTCAAAACCCTAAAAATTTACTTTTATTTGCTAAAAAATTTTATAGTGTTTTGAAATATTCTTGCAAAATTTCACAAAGTTTCCCTTTTTTGTGTAATTCCATTTTGTATTGGGATCCACTACAAACAAAATTTCGCAAAAAAAGTGGAAAACTTCAGCAAAAGTCAATATAAATTTCAAAAACCCCTAAGAATTTCACAAAAAAGAGTTGGATTTCGCGAAGTTGGTGATCGTTTTGTACAATTTCCCAAAAAAGGGGGGTCGTTTTGCGGGAGTTCACATCCAAGAGTGGTTGTTATTTGTACTTGTCCCTTTCCACTGTCTGTTAAGTTCCTACATGTGAAGACTACAGCCTTGTAAGCTAAACTAGTGCTTGTGTTTCAGACACAAAATTTAGAGACGGTAGGAGATGTTACTTTGGCAATCCATTAATATGTGAATCCTTCAAGTAAACCGCACTGCGCCCCAAAGAAGGAGAAGCCTTTTCTAGCTCCGATTTCAGCCCCTGCAAAAAGTAAGTCGGTAAGTACGCTAGTTAAACAAGCTATCAATCAAAGCCAATATTGGCCAAAACAGGCAGATTTTCTTGCTGTTGCCGGAAGTATTATTGATGAGATCTTTGATCAATGGTCAAGGCCCACCCCAACAAAAAAAGAACACATGACTGAGTTGTTTTGAACGCATTAAGCAAATAACCAAGGTTATATGTAACAAGACAATTCAAGGGCATTAAGATCCAATAACACTCTTTAAAAAGAAAACAAAGAAGAGAGATTTCTATGCAGTCCCAAGGGAAGAAGATATCTACAAAAATGACGATTACAAAATTACGTTAAAGAACTCCCAATTACCCTTTTCTATTTGCCAAGATAACCATCATTCCACAGTTAGTAAAGTTAAGTTTAATCATTATCTAGCATAATACGTTCCAAATCAAGGACCATGCTAAAGTAAATAATGTATAAAATCAGATCATGTGAGGCCGTCAAGTGCACGAGTGGAACATTTATGAGCTCAAGGCTAGATAATACCGATCTTACCTATTTGTCGTATGCTTAGGGTCGTAGTGCGTAAAGTTAGCGGACATGGTTCATGGTGGCCACTTTCATTTGGTAGACAGTGTTAGTGGTACAATATATAATTTAATTTGGTAAATTTAGGACAAAACACCTAAACATTTATAGAGAGAGAGGAGAGAGAGTCTGATTCATTTAATAATGTGTAAAAAACAATGCGGAACTTATGATATTAGCATATGAATGACCTCACTAAGTACAATAATAACAATAATGGTTGATATGATCATAATTTATTAAATGGATATAGTAAATTAGTAATAACAATAAATTCAACCCCAATATTTAATGGAATTAAAAAAAACTAATCTAATCAAAATCCACGATCCAAATAACTTAGAAGTACTAAAAGAAATTAAATGATCTAAATATATAATATCTTCAATTCAAGTCATCTATTCCTTCCATTCGCCATTTTGAGAATCCCTCTCTTGAGAACTATAAATATAGGATTTTAGTAGCCTTAAACCTTGACTTTGTGATTGCCTCAAATTTGGAACAATTGGTCTTGCAATGCAAGTCTTCATTGAAACCTAGTGTTCTTGTCTATGTTAGCTGTTGGATTTCCTCATTAAATATCAATTGATGATAAAAGTAAATGCATAAAGAATGGTAATTAAACTTAAATAGAATATATTATATTCCAAATAGTCAAATATTAAATTAGTGACTAGTTAAAACCAGATCAACTTGGTATGCAAACAGACGTGAACCAGCTCAAATAATTTGAAGCAGGATGCAGAGCTCATGCAGGTGAATTAAGTCAATAAATGGGATATATTCTAGAAACCTATTCAAGACACCCAAAGTTCAATTACCATATTAAGAGGCCACGGTAAGGTCAACCAGTGTGTCCCTTCTGTATGCATTAGCAACATCCTATTTCTGAATATCCATTAAAAAATAGGTCCAATATCACATGTGTAGAAGCCTGAACTAATTGTCCTCTTTTCTATTTTTGCCTCAAAAAGAGGATTATAGAATTCTATCACTTGCTACACGTAATTTTTGCCCATAATCATTTCACTTCTATTGCAATTTATACATAAATGCTACTCTGCAGAGACCAGACCAACGACATGTATGTAAAGTAGATTACTATGGGAATTGTACCGTATTTTTAATTTTACACATGCATAAGAAATCATGTGAACAACAGTGCTAGCAAAAAGCAAATAGTCGCAAGACAACATCGACTCATGACCTACACTTCGGTTAATAACAAAAATGACAAAGATAGAAAAATATGATCTCACAAGTGCAGTCACTTCTACAATAGAACTTACATGCTTCAGTCCCTCGTGCAAATGATTCACCTCATGTGATATGTGGCATTTAAGAGAATAAACCGATTCTGTCTCTAAACTTTCTTCACCACTTTCCGCACAATGCACCCTACAGACATACTATAGGTAAGACGAGAAATGTAGTGAAAGATGGGGTGTATGCCGTGTATATACAAGAAGCAAGAGAAATGAAACATCATTTTGAAAGATCTTACAGTCAGTTATATAAGTCAAAGACAAGAAACTGTCCTGCAATACTCTCTTAACAGAAGAAAAAAACAGTGGAAAGAACACCAAATGATTTGCTTGAAGCAGCTACTAATCATCCTCTTTTTCTTTTCACCATGTTCCTCATAAGGTTGCCATGCAAAATAATTTTTGCAGGCTTTGATGGTTAACATACCAAAAGAAAACTTGAAAAATGAAGCTATTAAAAAATGTTCAAACGAAGTAGGAGTATCATGTACCTGCTAACAAGGTCAATGCCGAAAAGTGCCTTCACTGTATCAGTATTTTGACTGCACATTAAATGAGAATAATAATCATCAATTTGATAGAAAACAAACTAATCCAGATAGAAATAGCATCTTCAATTATCTCATCAGTCTAAGTGTGATTGGCTGATAAATCTGCTAAAAATTTGATTTGATGAGATCTCATTTACAAAGATTTTTCTTAACTATAAAGCCATATCATTTATCGTACAGAATCGTACCTTTCAAGTGTTTTCTATAATAGAAGCGATCATGACCAAAATTTTCTAATAAGCCAAAATAAAATCAAAATACCTAGAACTTGGTGATCTAAGAGCCTGAGAAAGAGTATACAAAATCTGCGTCCAGCATTCTTCAGCATCCTGACGGTTATCAAAAGGATTTAAGTATCAAAACTCAAAAGACTGAACAACTTCGAGCAATAAAAATTAATATCATAAAAGAATGAACTCAAAGAAACCTGTTGCATAAAGGACCCATTATGCAGCTGCCCGAATTGAGGATACTTTTTCCGCAATACCTATGATCATACATGACATGCCATAAATAAACACACCTTTTGAGAATTCTTTCAAAAAAACGGTGCAGTAAAACACAATCATAATCGGCTGATAAGTTCCCTTCTGGCAGTTTCAGAAGAGAAAAGGTCTGCCCAATGATTAGATAACCATCAACAGGTTGTCTTTAAAGCTGAATCCTCAAAGGAAAATATCTAAAAGAATTGCATGATCTAATAAAATCATATTTACCAAAAGCACAAAATCTACAACGATAAAGAGTGAAACTTAAATTTAGGGCACATTGAACAAGGGATTGCAACTAACGTGTGCTTGACAACAGTTGCTGACATATCACTATTAGTAACTAAAAAGACTACTGCTTTTGTTACCATCTTCAGAACACTACTGTTAGCTCCAAATTCATATTAACACAGTTATATTATGGAAGTTCAGGAGAAAATGCACCATCCAAAACTGCATTGGAGCGACTGGCTTGACATTTTTATCGAGCTCGTTAAACAAGTCTCGTGTTGCAACAGTCAATAGATGAGATGACTGATCCAAATCATTGCTTCTGCCAGCCTGTGGATACCTGAGCAACAAGAAATGCGTAAACATGGTGTTGGTGAGCATTTATTACTTTTGTCAAAGAGAATAAATGAACCTTAGTTACATTGAACTCCAGATGCAGAACTAATCAAATGATAGAAGTATACCATCTGAATAGCAAAAGAATAGTAGAACTACAACAGTCCATCTCACCATAGGCCCCCATGAGCAAAGTTAATGCAAGAACAAACGAATTACAGTACACACAAAAAGCAAAGCCATAAAGAAAGCATCTGGAAGCTAAACACTCTTGAACACAGTTTAGTATTCCTTGCATTAAAAAATAACTCACTCAATCAATGAAGATTTAAGCTCTGGGACTGAATGCAGGCATTGCATGGTGGAATTCATGTAGCAGGTATTTCCCAGATTGAATAATCCAGCAGAATGCCCCTAAACATTAAAAAAACAAAAAGGGCTAGGTCATTGCTTCTCCAAACATGGTATAGATGCCAAGCATCAATCAATAATAAACCAAACATAAAATAAGCATCAAGAACATGTACATCCAATAAATCTTTTTATCAAACAAAGTGTTTTCAAGTGTCAAATCTAGTGAAGTTATGTGCTCCACTTTTTGACGTGATTCACACTTGCAATAAACAAACATGTAATGCAAAAGTTGAGTGAGCATATAGCATATATGGCAAGTTGGTCAAGTAGTATCTGTGAAATAGGTCGTGAAAAAAGTTAACGTGTTTGCTACAGCTCAGCCAGTTTAACATACAGACCTAAACAACAAGAGGTTCATAGACTAGTTACTTGGTAAAAATGATTTTGCCTGGCACATAGATTGAATATGACTTTTGTATGTAAAACAAAAAGTCAGGAATGCCAAAGGGCCACTGGCCCAACGGTATTCGGAAACCCAACCTTCGTAGAGGTCAAGGGTTCCAACCTCACCAAAGGTGAGGAGCGGGTGAGTTTCATTTTCCATATATAAATATTTTATACTTCAAAAAAAGGTCAAGAACCTTACCACAGCAACTACTTGTTCTTCTTCTGGAAGGTCTTCCATAAAAACAGGGCCCTTCTCTGGAGCCTTTACAATCTCATCAGCAGTTCCCATCATCATTAATTTTTGACCCTATAAACAACGAAACAACATTTACCACCAATTCCAGTGATGCAAGTCAATTAACTGTCAAATGTAAGAGAGATCATTTAAGACAATTCACCTCTTTCACCCCCAGTTTCGACCAATCAGAGTCATCCTGGTTAACAGAAACCATTAGGGAGATCATGGGACCTTAAAGATTAGATCATGTAATACTACATAGCCAAAATAAATTAAAATATATATATATAGCATGTGCAACCACAGGATTACCTTTAGTAATCCACCTTTCATCACTATCTTTTGCCTTTCAGGTGGCACCCCTGTGAGGTCATACAACTGACATTTGAAAACATAGGGAGGCTGGGTTGTATCTATCTCCACTGCCGGGTATAGCTCTTTTTGCCATTTTACACTCACTGTGGTAAGGACATAAATGACACCGTAAAAAACATACCTTCGAAAGAGAAACTTAAACCGCAAAGTTGGCTAGTAAATGTATACACAATTGTGATGTTGTGCCCTTAAAAATATCATACGCATCATGCATGTACTCTAGCGGCATGGCTTTCTTTTTTAACAGAAAAGACTCTCATAGCTACCATCAGGACTTCTAACCACAAATAAACTATAGCAACTGGTAGATGAAAATGTTGACATCCAAAAGATAACACAGGTAACGTAACAACCTCACACAAAAAACCAATGTACATAAAACTAAATAACAGAAAAGATGTACTTACAATCTTCCAGTCTCACACACACAAGCATAAGAGAAGAAGTAATCAACAGTACAAGAAAACAACAATTGGCTCAGTGTCAAGTAAGGATCAAGAAGCCTACAGAGCATTGACAATTTTATTTGAAGTGTACAACTGACTAGAAAAAAACACTTCATTTGTTTCATTAGAAACCTCGTTCTGCTAGGCGCAAGTGTGACCAACAATAACAAACACCAAGACAACAAAGAAATAATCACCACAACCCAGAATCATATAACATCAAGAGAAAGAAACCACCATTGCTATACACACAGCATGGTTTCCATGATCAAAGATGTCATCAGAGAGAGAATAGTCAAAAAAGGTCTTTAGAGCCATCAAGGAGGCAACTTGGCAGGTAACCTTTGAAGTCTACTATTCCTTCTTCCCTAGTCCCTACCTTCCCCAATCACACACATGAAAGTACTCGGAAGCCATGGCACTAACAAATACATGAAATGTTTGTACAAAGGTGCTCCAAGTATACGGTTATGCAAATATCCCCAGAATTAATTACGCCATGGACTGCCTTAAAATTTCTAAGGTCAATTAATCCTATTGAGACCACTCACCGTTTACTAATATAATCTACATCTGTAAACTAGTACATAATTGATAGTCGCATATAAGGCCTGAGTCCATTTGCAAGTCCTAACACTTGCTGAGGCCATTCGTAAGTCTCTAACACTTACTGGGTTTGTATCCAATTTGCCCTCTATATATATAAGAGTGTGTGTGTGTGGATAGCAAGCTAGTCAAGTAACTACAACAAAAATCGGTAATCGGTCTCTAAAAAACCACATAAAATAGCCAAATACATAAAAAAAAAACCAATGTCAATCCATCCGCAACTACAGCTAACGTAATCTGATTCACCAGGTTGAGCCCTAGATACGTAAAATCAAACACAGCAACAAATTAAATCAGCTGAACACGTATAAGGCCAACAATCGCAAGTCATTAACATATATACAAATCGGAAACAAATGATGTGCACAAACTGTGGGGTTGATTCATGAATCAATGCCTAAAATGAATTGCAATTTCAATCAATAGCAGATTAATCGACCTGTCGGCATAATTACAAGCAGACTCTGATTGTTGGCGTGATCGAGCGGGAGCCGAAGAGAGCTGTTTGCTTGGAGGAAAGGGCAACGATAACCGAGAGACCAATTTAGAAAAATCTTTTAGGAGAATCGAGTCGAGAGAGAGCGTCAATAAAAATTCGGTGAGGAGGAATCGTAGTATACTTGTACCGCCGTATTTGCTTAATGGGCCGGACCCTATGTAAATGAGCCCATGTCATCGACCCATTTATACGGAGGTGGGTTTTGTACGGTATCAAAAAAAAAAATTAATGTTAGGGGTTTTTACGGTCCGGTTTTGAACGGTTTAATTCTTTAAACCATAAGCCAAGTTGTAATAACGGTTTAAATTTCTCCAAATTGAGTATTTTGGTCCTAATTGACCAAACCGATCAGTCTACGATCTGATTTGGTCGGTTTAATCTTCCAAACCACAAATCAAATTGTAATGACGGATTAAATTTTTCCCAAGTCAATCATTTTGGCTGTAATTGACCAAACCCGTCTTCAGTTTCCCATTTGGTTTGGTCAGTTTAATCTTCTAGACCATAAATCAAACTGTAATGGTGGTTTAAATTTGGTTGTAATTGAGTAAATCGGTCGAACCGAACCACAAAAAGACGGTCTATTCTGACCAATTTGGATAAGCGCTTACCGGGTAAGTATTTGGGTAAGCCCCTTACTTTCCATTTTTGTGGATCATGGATCCTTTTATGAATATAATTGAAGGTTTTGTGTGATTATTATTGTAATATTTATGTTGTCCAACAAGTAAAATGTGGTCATTAGAATTTTATATTGTGAAATTTGAGCAGAATCATTGTATGTCTTACATTCATGTACGTACTCATTGATTCAACATAGATTCGTCAAAACAATGCAGTGTGTACTATGTGAAGAAACTGGAATACGATATCAGATATGTTGAGATGTAGTGCGGGAGAAACAGGTAAAACAAACTGCATGAGCATCATGTGTAAAATTTACAGTTGTTGCACATGCATGATGCAAAAATAACAGACCTGTGTGTTGATGCGTATTATCGAGCAGTATTAAATGCTTTGGCCATGTATAGAAATGGTTACGTGTTCAGTTCGAACGTCATAATATTATAACTTATCACATATTATACCACGAAATCATATTTTGTGACAATAATATATTTGTATGTATCACCATCAACGTAGCCCCTTAGGAAAGTCCCTTTGGTGGTGTAGGAAAAAGAAGCTGGCCTACCCTCCAAAACACCTGTACTTTTACCAGTCTCAATCACGGGAATGTAATACGCAGTGTCCTAGAACATGGTGGGTGGAGCCAGGTTTAAACACAACAGTTTATTGTGAAAGCTTCACCTTTTTTGCCGGGACCAAAAAAACCTGTTGTTTCCAAAGGTTTTTGTTTATATTTTCATATGAACGGAATGTTTATGAAATCAACTGCAATTTTGTGTCGGTGTCACGTAGGCTGATATACCTTACGATACTCAATTTTATTTTTATGCACAAAAAGTTTGTGGATTATTATGTTAATAATCAATAAAATATGCACCATTATGTTTACAGGGCAAATTACATGAAAAAATAACGTGCTTTAATTTGATTCATATTTTGGGTAACGTGCTTTAACTTGATTCATATTTTGGGTAACGTACTTTCAAGACTTTCATTTTAGTACCTAAGATGTAAGGTTTTAAACATTTAAGTCATCGGGTAATTGGTTGATGTGACGAGTGATGTGATATTCAACTCAATATTATTTGTTGACGTGATTAATGATATGAATTTTTTTTAATTTGAAATTGGTCTTTAACCAGTGATCCGGGTACTTAAATGTTTAAAACTTTACATCTTAAGTATCGAAAATGAAATTCTAAAAACACGTTACCCAAAATAAAAATAAAATCAAGGTACATTATTTTTTCATATAATTTGTCTAAGAGATAACAATAATAGTTGAGTGGATTCTATTTGTTACATATCAATATGCAATGCTGGTGCACATTATTTTATTAATAAAATATTTATTTATATTATATTATAAAGCATTTGACAAAAACTCTTATAAATTATTTTTATACATGAAGTATTGTTTATTGATACATATTACTTAAAATTCAACATTACAAGTAAATAATGCATAAGTACAATTTATTAAAGCTCCATACTTGAATTCGTGTAACTAACTACAAATAAACATAATCAAATACCGGATAAACATTTTATTTTAAATATAAAAAATATAAAATATAATTAGAATAATCATTATATTCTAACATAATACTTAATTATTATTTTTATAAAAAATTATCTTATTTAATCAAAAATAAATTACTTCCTTATTAAACCTAAGTTGAATTATAATAAAAAAAAAAAGTTGAATTAAAAAATTTACACAACAAAACAAGAACTTTAAAATAATTAATTTTATACTAATATCTGCATATTTTTAAAAAAAAATTAAGATATCTTCAAATTATGTTTTATTTAAAAGCAAAAACAATATCGTCTTTTTCAAAAGCACATAAAAACGTATAACATCAACAGGGGACAAATTAAAACGAAATATTAAAATAAAGATGTATCTCGCTGTATTACACGAATAACATTCTAGTAATCATAATATTGCTATGATTAGTTGTTTTTTAAACATTTTTTCATGTATATTGTAACAGTAAAAATAATAATATTTGAAAGAAAAAAACATAAATGGTAATAACTTAATTTTTAATATATCGTGTCAAAAACAAACTTAGAAAATATAAATAGATATAAATAAATATAGATTTTTAAAGGCATAAATGGAAATAACTTTAATTTCTAATGTTTTGGGTCAAAGAAAATGTTGAAACCTTTATACCAATATATATATATATAGGGTTGGGTTCACGTGAGACCATACTGTTTTCGTGAGACCCATAAGACCACATTTTACTGTGAAGTTTCAAGTGTAAAAAGTTGGTCTTACGGGTCTCACGAAAACAGACTGGTCTCACGTGATCCCAAATATATATATATATAGAGAGAGAGAGAGAGAGAGAGAGAGAGAGAGAGAGAGTTGTGATCAGGTGAGACTACTTTTTACCACTTGAAACTATACAAGAAAAACGCTGTGAATGTAACTTTCACAGTATTTTTGCTGTGAATGTTTGACTTCTTTTAATTTCACAACGTTTTGCTATGAAGTTTCAAATGTAAAAAAATGATCTCACGAAGACAGACTGATCTCACGTGAACCTAACCCTATATATATATATATATATATATATGTGTGTGTGTGTGTGTGTGTAGACATAAATGATAATAACTTGATTTTTAATATTTTGGGTCAAAAGCGAACTTTGAAAATTTTAGTTTCTGTTATTGAGAGAGACCAAAACGAACAATACCACAAATGTTTTTATGCAAAAAAGAAAACTCCATGGATGATGGATCTAATCCAACAAACGCAGTGCAATTTACTCGTCTATTTTCCCTAATAAACCAGTTTTATTAGGTTTTATGTATTCTAACGGTGTTTCCCGACCGGCTTGACCTATTCACATTTTAATTAATTTTCCGTTCTTGCCCATTTTACCAGTCGTAACTAAAACATAACCTAAAATTATCCACTTCACTTTAAATTGCTTGAATTGTTGTATTCAAGTGTTTAGTTTTTATGTTATTAGACATTAGTTTATGTTACATATAAGGAATAATATAAGAGAATTCAAAGCACATATGTTCTAACGGTAACCGACAATTCAGTTACTCATATCATAACCTATCTATGATCAACAATACGAATAACCAATGCTTCAACGTTTCATGTACGTAAAACAAGAACACTGAACCATTTGGATTTGCATCAAGACATACACAGCCATATCCGACATGACCAACGAGGGGAATTGAAAATGATGGTGACATGGACAAGCCATAACAACGGTGGTTGAGCAAAACGTGGCAAAAAGATTTGAAGACAATGGCAACAACCGTAATTTTTTTTTTGGGACGGTGAGTTAATGAAGGATTGTGACGTAAGGGGATTCACGTTAACAAAATTAATTGTTGAGTACGTTATGTTTAAAACAAACAATCGTACAAAACTAAATTGTAAGGCCAGTGGTGTATATGTTAAGTAAACTAAGCATGTGCATGCATACATGATAACAAGAATCACATTGAGTAAATAACTAAAAAAAAATACTGTACAATATGCATGTTGGGGTCAATCTTGCCCGATGCAACATCAACAGTGACTTTTGATGTTGTTTATACTAACGACGTGTCACATGCATAATGCATATCCGGGAAAACCCTCACAGTTATGTACTTATAAGTCGAGATTTGTGCATGTCAGATGAGGGGGGATTTAATTTTATTATTTATAGCTACCATTGATGGCAGACGATAAATTTGGGATCATGTGAGACAAATATGTTTTCATGAGACACGATTTTTACACTTGAAATTTCACAGCAAAACACTGTGAATGTAACCTTCACGGTGATTTTGCTGTGAAGATTCGTTTTTTTACCTTCACAACATTTTGTTGTGAAGTTTCAAGTGTAAAAATCGTGTCTCTTACGAAAACAACGTTGTCTCACGTGAACCTAACCCTATATATGTATATATATATATATATATGTATATATATATATATATATGTATATATATATATATATATGTATAGAGACAGAGGGGGGGGGGGGTCATGTAATAATCTTTTACTTTTGTGAGATTTGAGAACAAGTTAATTTACTCTTATATTGTGTTAAAGCTGTATCATTGACGTAATACAAGGGTATATTAATGTCTATTATGACCAACTTCCATATAAAATAAGTGTATATTGACAATTTTCCGGTTTAATATGAAAATGGTATATTTTAACCATGTCCAAACCGTCTCTGTATGTATTGTTTTTCCTTTTTGAATATTCGACAACGAATAATCATCACACCCGTGACTACTTTAGCCTTCTCAAATTAGGGATATATCACATTGGATCGAAATTCGTGACCAATTTTTTTGTTCCATTCCTTATGCGATTAATCCAACGTCAACAAATAATTACGATGTAAATTGTCACTCTATATTTGGAAATCACCGATGCTCATGCACAATACCGACCCTTTCCCAACCAGGGTACGTATTCAGTTGATGTTAAGCCGGTCCCTGTATCGACATGCTTATACAAGACCAGTGATACATCAGTAAGGAGTTAAATCAATCTCGTGAGGATAGTTGATTGGTGACACAAATACCTTCCGTTAACACAAATAAACATACTTAAAATTTATGAACATTCAACGAAAAAAAAAATCAAAAATAAATACAAGAAATACAAACATTGATGGCACATGTAGTATTACTATTGAAACAATGCATGTAAACAAGAATCACATGTGAATGTTTGTGGCAAAAGTTATCGTCATAGTACACAAAATTCAAACATCAAGATTGGAAATTTGCACCACAAAGGTTGCCACACGCCCCAGAGGTGGAACACAAATTGACTGGATCAACAATAGTAGATGGGCCAATAGAATTTTATACTTAAAACCTTAATGGACTGAAGATGTTTCATACTATAAAAAAAAAAAGTCTGCCCCTGCACACGACATTATGACAAAAGTTAACTCATTGGAAATAAAGTTTTAAGTACGTAAACCTCCTTCCAAAGATCACCAGTTCTAGTTATTCCAAAGTTACTGGAATTTATCTATCTGTTTTATAGGGTCCTATGGAATTAGCAGAGATGTATGCATGCTGGTGCAAACACCCACCATAATATTATTTATTATTAATTTATAATATATTAAAGAACAAATTGCATGAAAAGTAACATATTTTAACTTAATTCATATTTTGAGTAACATACTTTTAAAACTTCCATTTTGATATATAAAATGTAAAGTTTTAAAACATTTAAGTACCCGAGTAACCGGTTGAAGCATTAACCGGTTATCATGCTAATGTGACGAGTGATGTGATATCCAACTCAGTATTATTTGTTGACGTGTTTAGTGACATGATTTTTTTAAATCTAAGTACCCAGGTATTTAAATGTTTAAAATATTAATTCTTATTATGTACTAAAATAAAAAATTTGAAAGTATGTTACCAAAAATAAAAATAAAGTTAAAGTATATTATTTTTTCATGCAGTTTGTCTTCTATTAAAAATATGAACCATGGTGAAATTAAAATGAATAATTTTTATTTTTTCAGAAATAAAAAAAAGGCATTACAGAAGAGACGTGAAGAGGGAAGTCGATGCAAATTGATATTTTTAACCTATACCCTAACGACGTCGTTTTCTATTTTTATTTTCAACGGGTAATAAAAAGTAAATAAAATTAAATTGAAGAATTCCCAAATTCCCTTCGCATCTTTTCCTTGTGACGGTATCCAGGTTTGCAACTTCGCAATTCCCTCTGGTTCCCACCGGAAGCACCCCCAGATTGATTGCTTCGCCGGCAAAACTTGACGTCCGATAATGTACGGCGGCTCCGGTAAGCTTGGCCGTGGCCGAGGTGGTGGTCCTGTCAAGCGGAATATCCACACCACCTTCCAACCATCTTCTGTTCAACGCCCATCCACTACGCCTGGCGGTGGTCGTCTATCAGCCGGCGGTGGTCACCGTAACCGTAGTAATACGCCTGTCGCTCCCGCTCTAGTATCTACGGCAGAGGAAACATTCAGTTTAGTTCGTAACAACCCTCTCAATTTTGGTATGATTATCAGGCTCTCACCTGTCCTTGTTGAAGAAATCAAGCGCCTTGAGGCGCAAGGCGGTGCCGCCAGGATGAAATTTGATTCGAGTGCTAAGAATCCTGCTGGAAATGTAGGTTTATTTTATCTGAATGTTGGCTTTATTAATGGTTTTATGTGTTGTCGGAATTCAGTTTGGTGCGTATAAACCTAGATTAGTGAAATTTCGTTGTTTAATGTGTTACTGGTTTGTTTCAATTGGTGATACTGCTGCATAAGGGTCTTGTGGTGATAAATTATTCAGTGAATCTAAGGTTTACTTCTTTACTATTAAAGAATTTAAGTTGCTTTAGTGAAATTCTCTTGCTAGGTTAAAGTACCAATTTACATCCCAAATCTATATAGGAGTTGGAGAATTCTGTAGCAGAAGTTTGTTTAGTTTGGAGTTGGAGGTTGGTCACTTAATATAATTGCAATTGTCATGAGAACTCTGCACATAGCAGGAGAGGATCATGTAGTGTAACAACAAGTTAACAATTTGCAATTGCTCCATGGGTTATCTGGTTAAGCACTTTCCTGGATATAATATGTCCTGGTTATATGTTTTGTAAGCTCAGTCATCTCTATGCAGCTACAGAAAAACTTGTAATTTTGTTAAAACCCTATATCTTTACCCTTCTAAATCATGTTGACGAATTTCAGCTTTTGAGGTTTTTTGATTTGATTAGTGGACCATGTACTGTCAATTTAACCTTTTAGTGCTTTCTACTCTTCCAGATCATCGATGTAGGAGGCAAGGAGTTCAGATTCACATGGTCCCAAGAAACTGGAGACCTATGTGACATATATGAAGAATGTGAAAGTGGTGATAATGGAAATGGACTGCTTGTTGAATCTGGAGGTGCTTGGCGAAAGTTGAATGTGCAACGTGAATTAGACGAGTCATTTAAAAATCATGTTAAAATGCGCACAGTGGAAGCAGAACGCAAACACAAATCACGGACGTATGTTTCATGTTTATATGACTCATATTACTTATGTTCCTAACCCGACACTAATGATGCATTTTCTCCCTATTTGTCACCATATGAATTTTATATGTCCCGACACACTTCATACTATGTGCTCCTGTATATGATCTGTGGATGGTGCCTATACAATGCTTGCCTAATCTTTTTCTTATATTAACAATCGGTACGCCATTGTTGCTTATACACATGTACACTTTCATTCTTAATGTTCCACAACGATCTTCTTACCACCATATCAACATGGTTAAGTGTCATAAGTGCCTTTTATTGGGTCCATGATGTCTTGTTACTTGACAGATAAATTACTATTTCCAATGTGATTTCAATATGACAAAATGAAAAGAAAAGTAGAAAATTATCCGTCTATCCCATCCTCTTCGTGAAGAAATAGAAGAATAACAATGGATACTGATGTTCTAATATTGTAGTTGATGAAAAATTCCTGCTTCATCTTGGGAATTCTTATTTGAAACATGTACAACATAATGTGGTGATACTAGTAGCTTTCTTCTTGAAACTTGTACCGAACTTCCATGAAGAAGATTGTAAACCAAACAACGATCATCTTGCAAAGATGACTGCCTATAATCTCTGGTAACTGGCAGGGTCTAGTTTTTTTGTGCATTTATCAGCATTGGATCCCATGTTTCATCATTCATGTATGAGGAATCAGGTAGTAAGCCGAGTTTGGTAGAGTTTCATATTAATGATGTCGTTGCACCAACATGATGGCTAAACATCCGGCTGAAGTAATCCTTGAATGATTGGAATATTAAGTTAATCCTTCCATCATTCCATGCTCTCGTATCTAGGCGACCTATGTTATTAAGAAGGGTCGAGCTCTCATAACTGCTTCCTCTCATGTTAATACTCCCATTCTTGATACAAGTTTCTTCATGAGTGCCTTCAAGGTCTAGGTTAGAGAGGACCATTCCATCTCAGGTGCTTATTCTCATTCTCTATTAATGCCGCCTCAATATTCTCCTGAATACCATCACTCTGTCTTGTCTGTCTTTGTTTGGCAATGCTCCACTATGGTGACCCTACGCATACTCTATTCTCATGGCTGTTTAACATTTAAATCCTTGTAGTTTAGCACGTTGCATTTAGGCGCTTGGCCAACCTCTTAATTGGTCTTTATGTCACATAAAGACCAATCTAAGGGTTTAGAAGCAAGTACATATTGATATTCTCCTGAATATCATTACTCAGTCTTGTTCAGCCTTGTGTGTACTTCCACAGACCTTCTGAAGAGCCCACAATAAACTCACTTTGCTGCCTATTATGTGCCGTCTATAGATCATGCTCACTTTCTCAAACTCGCTTCAAGTTAGAGCCGTAAGAAATTAACCGAAGCACACTAGCAAAATATAGCACCTATGATTGCTGTTGCATCTCTGAAGTCTCAAGCAGGATTTTCTAGTGGCAATAGCTTATCTTTATGTATAGCACCTGATTTATTTACAAAGGTTTTGGTAGAGACATGGAGTTGGGGGCTGCTTAAGCATAGAACCCATTGAGCCTGAAATTCTGGAACATTTATTTATTTATGTGTAGATAGGGAGAAAGCTGGGTATTTATTGGTGGTGGTTCTTTTTGTGTATCTGTTAGGTTGGGGGTTGAGGTAGGGGCTGTTAGCTTACTCTTACAGTGATAACCCGATTGATATCACATAATAAAATAGCATTTTCATCTTTGAACTTTTAGTAATTATGACTCAGAAAGGGAAACACTTACCATTTTGATTTCTTTTTGACAGAGCCATTGTTTTAGACCACCCATCTACGAAGAATCATATGAAGGCCGTAGCTGCCGCTGAAGGTATGATACTTATTCAGTCATCACTATCATTGGTTGCACTTATTTTTTTTTTGCTTTAATACATGTGATTTGAAGTTATGCATGTCTTTTCCATCCTTCAGCTTGTGCCTGATATATTATTGATCCATGAATAATGAAAGATAAGACTTTGGAAGCAGAATGCAGGGTCCAAGAATTTAGGACTCTTGCTACAGTTTGTTTTGGTTTCTATACCATCTTTGACAGTCTCAGTGATGGAATCATTTTTATTTTTACTAACCACTTATTCACAAAAGTTCTGATCCACAAGAAAGGTGGCCGTGTCAACATGCTTTTTGCCATTTTTAGGGTTCCCTGCCATTCTTATTTAATTTCTTTTGCCATTTGTTGAGTTGTTTCATGTCCATCTGCTTTATTGAAGATGAATTTTCATTTCTGACACATGCTTCTTTTGTTATAGCAAACTTCAATAACTTCTAAACAGTGGTTTTGTATGGTGAATCCTGGTTTATCAGTGGACTGTATGATAGTGAAAGTGTTAATGTGAAAAATGATCATGTTGTATTGAACCATGCTCAATGAATAGAATGGGCAACTCAGTTCTTGAAAACCTTCACTGGTGTCCACCCTCCAATACCTTCGAATCTCAATTGCATTTTTCAAATATTATTTTCAACTGGAACTTAGACACAGGAAAGCAATTGTCCACTGCTTAATACCTAGCTGCTGTGAAGGGCTGGTGTGTTTTGTAGTAGAAGTGGGTTCAATCCCCTATGCGTTCTTCATTTTGTATGTGCACACCTTCTTCATCATCAAGGAATGCTAAAACTATACTTAGACATGTAAAGAGATGTTTCCTTTCAACAATCTCTCTGGTTTTCTAACTTGACTTGGCAATTCTCTCTCTCACGACCCTGAGAAGTGGTATTTTAGCATCACTATATCACTACAGCTTTTGTGCCTTGACTGAGCAATACACCCACTTTTCTAATTGATCTACTGGTCTCGTCTTACAAGCACAGGATTGAGGAAACTTCCTGGCTTGACTTTCTCACATAAAGCCTTCATTAGGATATATCTTATCTTTTATTGGTTGATATATTACACGGGTATTCATCCTGAAATGTCTCATTCATGCTTTGCTAAAAAACTTCGTGTATTCACAGACAACCAATTCTTAATATTAGAATTGTTACACTTTGTAAAGAAATTGTTATTTATTTTTTGGTTTCAGTAAATAATACGTGGAGAGGGTCATACAAACAAAAGAAAGAACCCCCTTTCAAAAAGATGAAAGCCGATACTTATTCAGGTAAAGGGACTTGTGATTGTGTAGCGATGATCATGAACATCTACAAGTATAGCTTTTTGTTGCGAAGCTAGTTTATTTTACTCTTCATTGCAGGCCCTCCTAAATCTGTTGGAAAAGCTAGATTGTCCTCGTCAACTCCTTCCAAAGTGAGGACTTCTGCTTCACCACTACTATCTACACCCGAACAATCTGGAGCTCCATTATCCCCACATAGAAATAGCAATGCTCTTAAAGTACATGCAAACAGAGATGATGCTACTTTGAATCAATCTAGTAAAGAGAATGCTGGCACCTCTGAGAAAGAAATGCTCAACAGAGGTTCTGTTGGTGCCATACAGAATAAACCAGGGAGCAACGAAAAATTTGGAAACAAACCTACTGACCTGCCGAGTTTGCTAATATCTCTTCTCATGGAGAAGCCACAGGGAATGAACCTCAAGGTAAGGATAAGAACAATTCCAGTGCCTTATTTGTATGGTTTATCTTTGAGCAAAAAGGTTTTTCTGTACCATTTCTTTTACGTAAATGTAGTACCCAAATATCATGCATGACCTTCACCTGTTAACCCATTGGACTTAACTTGAATCCCTGCTCTTGCTTTGGCGGGTTTTTCCCGTCTATTTCCCTTATACATTTTTCATCCTATCTTTTAGGCTCTGGAGAAAGCTGTTGGAGATACCATTCCCAAATCTGTGAAGCAAATTGAGCCCATCTTGAAAAAAGTAAGTGGTAGTAATTGTTGGTTAATTTATGTTCTTCAGGGGCTGTTGAATCATGAATGACATTGCTATCTCATTCAGGTTGCTGTTCTCCAAGGTTCAGGAAGATATATTTTGAAACCCGACGTCGATTTAGAAAGTTTCAAGAAATATTCATCCGGAAGTGGAAGGTACATCCATTATTCAACCCTCAGCTCTTTTCTTGCTATTCCCTTTGATTGTAAAACTATATTAGTCATCTCTGTCTTTTGAGTAAGTTGCATTGTCGGTCCGATCTCGAACTGTGAGTGGATCAAAATTCTCATTCACTTCTAAGATAAACCTGTTTTGGTCGTCATGACAGATGGTCAGTTCTATCTCTCCTTTGGGTCCTTGTTTTTAGGGCCAAAATGGCTTACAAAATGATATAAAGAATGACTTGAAACAAAGGAACTTGAAGAAAATGTGAACTTCATAAGTTTACATATGATAAAGAAGATGACAAACAGTGCGTTTGTAGTCTATTGAATTCGAACGCAATAGATTTAGTCAATACTTCAAGCGATCCAAAATATGGTATGAATGAATTAGCAATATCAAGGGGACAAAGATGTTTGTGGTCTGCTTTCAATAGGCTATCAGAGTTAAAAGATTGGGGTTGGACTATTTGAATGGGGTTGATTTTTGCTATTGAATATATGAATATATGATACATGGACCAAGAGTGGCTGCCAGTTTGCTTGTATTTAGAAATGTGTCTACACATCTGATTTTTGCTTTTCACTCATATTGATGATTAGATATTAACAGTGTTTCTGTAACCAATTTATTTTAAGATTTCAAAAGTAGAAATTTAAATCTTATGTTTGAAAGTCGTTTATTTATGTCATCTTTATGTGGTATGACTTCCGATCTTATCATTTTCACAAATCGCAATCACAGTAAGAAGTCCAATCTCTTAGATACAGCTTGGTCCTTCCGAACTATATTTTTAGTCTCTTTGGAAGGAGAACTCATTTTCATTTCATCTCGTGATTCATTCTCTTCGGTTTTATTCAGATCCCAATGTCAATACTATGTTGACTTTACTCTAAAACCTACCGCAGTGGGGAGGCAATGACCATGCAACAGATAAGACCCCAATACTTAATGTGTGGGATTGACTTGTTGCTGATCAGGGCATAAAGACTCGAGTAAAATCAATGCGGTTCTTGGAGCATTAAGACTGCATTAAGTGAAATATTTGAGTTTTTGTCCAGTCAGATATTTTCTCTTGTATTCGTTCTTTTTGGTGTCCAATCACATACGTTCTAGCTCGGTAATTTTTTCTGTTTGAGGTGTCTACTTTCCAATAGGATTTCTTTCTTCTTTTTCTTCTTCCTCTTCAACCCTCCTGCGTAATGTTTCGATCATCTGCTTCCTTTTACTTCCAGTATAAGATAGCCAACAATTCTACACTTCTTGCTATGTTAAAGAGTAATTACATGTTCTGTTGTCACTCTAATTTCTACTGTTTAACTTAATTTTTGACCAGTGAGTGGTGATCAATTAGTTTAAAGGCCGATTTCGGTTTTTGAGGGTTAAGATGGAATAATGTTGACTCTTCTTGGGGAGTTATCTACTGGGTTCTTTCATTTCTTCCCTACTCTTAGGATTGAGTTTTTTTTTGTGGGGGAGGGGTGTGAAAGGGAAGCAGGATCGCGACCCACCCTTCTAAGAAATAAGAAATTGTTAAACAACTTGAAAGCATCACTCCGTCACTCTTTCAAAGACGTATTGACCGTCTCGGTTCAAATAATCAATTATATGAGCCTCTTAAATATCCTATTAGGTGCTGTCCATGGTTTTGTTTTGCTTATTCTACTTGTTTACTTGTCAGAATATCATTATTAGTTAATTGTTTGGGCTGTTCTTTGAAATCGTATAAATGTTGCTTGATATTGCCTTTTTCAGCTCTCCAGAGAACAATCATCACCACAGAGAGGTAACTGCTCCAGAATCTAGCTTTCCCTCGAAAGCTAATGATGTAAAAGAATCCGAGGAACCATCTCACCTTATTTCTGCACCTTATGAGGAGTTAAATCTTTCAGAAAAGATTGATATCGAGCACCGTTCGCCAGATGTATTAAGCGAGAAAAAAGTTTCTGAAAATAGTGAAGGGCCTGCAGCTAGCTCTAGCTTGAGCGGAAGTGACAGCGATAGCGAAAGTGACAGCAGTGATAGTGGAAGTGACAGTGGAAGCCCTAACAGAAGTCCTGCAGGAAGTGGGAGTGGGAGCAGTGGTGACAGTGAAAGTGACGCCTCTTCAAACAGCAAAGAGGGGTCTGACGAAGATGTGGATATTATGAGTGATGACGATAAAGAACCCAAGCAGATATTACTACATCCAGATCCAGGGTTGTCAACACCTCGAGTTCCTTCCACAGCTCCTGAAGTCGGATATGCACGTAATTTGGTTGATGAAAAGGATGAAGAAAATGGGTCTGATTTTGTTGAGCTCGAGAGAGATTTGTTTGCAGATAACCAGGAAGCTGATATGCATGTAACTACCAACTCTTTTCCTGATAAAGATGGAGATAATTATGCAGATGAGAGCCGAAATCTCTTCGTCAATCATATCGAGCATCAAGATAGAAATTTACACAGTGACAAGGAAAATGTGGCCAAGGATGGGTCGGAGGAGATTGAAAGAGTTGTACCCAGGACTAAGGCCAAAAGGGGATTTGATGAAAATGAACATGCAAAAAGATTAAAAACAGGGAACTGGGCTAGACCAGCAATCCCTAGGGGGAGAAACTCTTTCTCGGAAAGCCCTCTCAGTAGATCTCCTGACGGGCCCAATGAAGTCCCTTACAGGGGTCCTATGGTTCAAATGGACAGAACTGTTAGGGATGTGACTGATTATGACTATGAAAAAGTTGATAACCGTGAAGTCCCTGGAAATTCTACTTCAGATTCCCCGAGATCAGGCCCAAGAGCGATTGATCTTAATGCACGAGCAAAAGCTCCTGCTAGTATGGAGAGGACAGAGAGATATGTTGAAGGTTTGGACCTGGATAGGTACTCTGAAAGGGGTCCTCAAGGGCATGAGCCATTTTTCCCGCAGAAGGATAAAACCAACAAAGAAATACGAGATGAAGATGGTCATTCCAAGGATAGAAGGCCTCCAAAGAATTCTAGGTTGGGTGCTGATGGAGGCAAACATTCAGGCTCTCATCAAAAGAAACATGATGCTTTGATTGGGAAGATTAAGGAGGCCGGATTAGTGTCAACATCACAGCCTAAGGATTCTCCCATTGATAACTATAGAACTGACATGAAAAAGTCTCCTGTCGTAAATGGCCGTGGAGCTACACTCCGGAGAGAGGCTTCAGCCTTGGAAATGGGTGAATTTCGTGAGGACTTGCTTGAAGAAACATCTGGGGCTAAGAAGCGTTTTGAGAGAAACAGTTCCTTCAAACAATCAGAGAACAAACCAAGTTCAGATCACCGGAATCTGGATGCAAGTAAAGGAAATCTTGCTGGAAGAACAAGTTTAGATTCTGCAAAGGCGTCTCCACTTCAATCAGGTATTGGCACGTCCAGCATTCCACCGAGCTTATCTAAAAAGCTTATTTCCGAGGATCACAATGATGATTTTGCAAGGATTAATGGCAAGCCCATCCAGCGGGAGACTCAGGCACTGTCAAGAGTAGATCATGTGAAACCTGGGTCACAGCAAAATAAATTTGCAGAGACAAACAGTAAAGGTAGACATAACGAGGCTGGGGCAGGTCAGGGAATTGGTTCAGAAGGGTACTCAGACAGTCAAAGAAAAGTTCCACCTGTGGGTGCAGCACAGAAGTATGAGAAACAAGGAGCTCCTCCTACGACAAGAGATAACAGAAGACAAAAGTCCAACGATTTGGGGGAGAAAAGGAAGGATTTCTGGCTGGTAGATAGTAGGGATAGCGGACAAAAGAGGAGGGAGATGGAATCTTCTTCGGATGACAGTATCACTTCATATACCAAGTATGAGAAGGAGGAGCCAGAGATGAAAGGACCTATAAATGATCTTTCACAGTAAGTGGAACATTTTTTCTTACACTTTACTCTCTATAACCCTGAGGGGCCACCCAGTAGGAACTACCTATTTGTGCAATTTGCTGATCTGATGGTTGATGCTTGTTTAGGTACAATGAGTATGTGCAGGAGTACCGTGAAAAGTATGATTGCTACCACACGTTGAACAAAATTTTACAGTCTTACAGGTGTTGGGAAGTTTTGCATCCTTTACTTTTGCAATCATCATCTCTGTTTTATGTTCTATTTACTGAACTGAGTCAGCACAGATATTGTTATCTAATGAAGTTTTATCCTTAATATCCAGGACTGAGTTTCAAATTTTTGGAAGGGACCTTGAGCTTGCTAAAGGAAGGGATAATGTTAGATATAACAATATATTGGAGCAGTTAATGGAATCCTATCGCCAGTGTGCAACGGTATGCCTAATGTCTGTTTCTTTGATATTTTAATTAAGAATGTGTAGTAGAAGTCGCGGCAGGTGGTCTGATTTTTATCTGGTCCTTTGGTGGAATGACTTTAAATGACTTCTTAAGTAGGAGCATGAGTTTTTTTTTTTTTTTTTGATTAACCTGGATATCCAACCCGCTATGCGAGCTGACTAATCCAAGGGCGACCACCTGCTTTGCAGATAGCCTGGAGTCACCGCATTTGAACCTCCATGGCCACAAGGGGATTTTTATACCTCCTTTGGTGGAGTTAATATTTTTTTGAACTTAATGATCTTCATCTGACCCACTCCTGCTGTTAAACAGTCTGCCCCTGATGTAAAACAACCTGCTCCCTAAAAAATTTGAAAACACACTAGAGTGTCGTTTTGCAAAATCAGCTTCTAGAGAAGGCCATTGAGCTAAATAGCCCTATTTTTAGGGAAATTGACTGAAATAGCCAATCCCATCAGCCAAATTCACTTTTTAGCCACTTCTCACAGTCTCTTCCAAAAATAGCCAGTCTTTACAGAGATGCTTTACCCATTTGCGTAAAAACTGATTTCTGGAAAAAAAGAAAAACAAAATCCTTACGCACATGCTTAAGGATTCTTTACGCAAAAATTTTAATCCTTGTGCAAAAGTTTGAATCCTTAAGCAAAAATCTGAATCTTTACACAAAAAAAATCTTCTTTTCTTGAATCTGAAAATCAATTTTACGCAGATGCGTAAGACATTTGCATAAACTCTGGCAAAAGTAAGAGTTCAATTGAAAAAGTGGCTAAAAAAAGAAGTTGGTTGGGGAGATTGGCTATTTTGGTCAATCTCCCCTATTTTTATCCTATGAACTTGTAATGAATTTTGGTTTCAGTATTGCCATGGGTCAGGTGATTTAAAGAAACAGCATTTACATTGTTGGTATTGAACTTTCAACCTTGTGCCCAATGTTAAGATTTGTAAAATACCGTTTAGGTGTGTTTATTTTTCAGAAAAACTTTGGGTATGCGTCCTTTTTGTCATTGAGGAAATAGTTTTCTTTGCTTAACTGCTTTCCTCATTTTAACGAGCACTGTCATACTGCACTTAGGGTGCGTTTATTAGAGGACAGAACAACTGTCCAACGTTTGGTAAGACAAAGAGAAAACAAATAAAATGACTTATTTATCCCTAATGAGTTGTTTATTTATTTATTTTGATTAATTTATGTAATAAATATCATAAAAATTACATCATTGGAAAGTTTTCATCAAGACGATTTAAATGATACCGAAGTAAAAAGTTTATCTAGTTGTCAACTTTTTTATACCTTTTCTATATTTTTTTCTTATTATTAGCATCTAATAAATTACATAAATTAATCAAAATATAGAAGCCGTATAAAAGTAATATTTTGAGGACAATAAACTGAAAGTTTAAGGAGTATAAAATAAAATAAATAAAATTTAAAGAATGAATAAAATGTAAAGAGGGAGGCATAATTGATGTTTTATAAGAGAATTAGGTGTTAGTTTGAGGTTATATTGGTAAAATATAGGCCTGTTCCACCCCACAATTTGTTCCATGGGGTTGGGTGGAACACGCCTGTTCCACTTTGTCCCACTCTGTGTCTGTCTGTTCCACATAAAGTCCTACCAAACATGGAACAATGATCCCTGTTCTGTCCTCTCTAACATACCAAACACACCCTTAATGTCGTAAGGTTGGAGAAATGACGTTTGCAGTGTCAAGTTGATGTACGACATGAATGGCTAAAGTATTAATTGTTGAAGTATTTGATGATGCAGAAACATAAACGGCTAAAGAAGATTTTTGTTGTGCTTCATCACGAACTGCAGGTTTCTCTCTAACCACTCAATCTCAGTTGTTCATCTGATGACTGTTTTAAATTTGCTACTTCATTTCAATCGTTAGTGTCCCACATTGACTTGCATGGTCAAAGAAGTCGTTTCATATTATAACGAGTTTGTTTGAATTTGGAATGCATATGAAAATCATGTTAATGGCATATAAAATATGCTTGCCAGAAATACATAAAGGTCGTGTACTCCCTCCGTCCCAAATTAAGTACCCACATTTCTATTTAGTTTGTCCTGAAATAAATGTCCACTTCTAAGAGTAAATTTTCACTTGCTCATTCTACCATTAATTATGAGATAGAAAAAGTCTCTCTGTTATTAAAGGTAAAAGTGTAACTTAGTTATTTAAAAAATATAATAATTATACATTCTTAAAACTGCGTGCCATTTTCATTGTGAACATTTATTTTGGGACGAAGGGAGTAATATTTAATTTGAGAAATAGCTAGTTAAACCATGCAAATCAAAGTGGGGCACGTTTGGTACATAGGACGAGACAGGACATGATATGACACAAACCTGTCGGAAAATTGATCAAAATAGTTGATCTTTCCAACCAAATTTACTTTTTAGTCAGTTTTTCAATCAAATTCCCGTAGTAGCCAGAGATTTTTTACGCAAACAGATTAAAAAAAGAAAAAAAAAATCTTTATGCAAATTTGCATAAGGATCTCATTTGCATAAATAATTTTTTTTATCTAGAAAATAGATTTTATGCAATACGTAAGACATTTGCGTAAACTTTGGCTAAAATGGGAATTCGATGCGAAAAGTGGCTAAAAAGTGAATTTGGTTAAGGGGATTGGCTATTTTGGTCAATTTCCCAAACGTGTCACAGGTTTGATTTGACATTAAGATAGTTAATGCCCGAGTCTGACAAAAATAGGTGGAATTGAGGGAGACGAGACACGATTGGTAAATTACTAAACTACCCATATCAAATTAAAACCCTAAAACCTTGAACAATTCTATCACCAGCCCCCCTCTTTTATCTTTTTCCTTGTCCCGTCCAGTCCCATCAAATACACCCTTAATAGAGGCGGTATTTATTTGAATATATGTTGTATTGTCTATGATGTAACTCCATGTTCCAAATTAATTCCTACAATTTGGTTTCTACCCAGCATTTGAAGGAGATGATTCGAGACTTTGCGGAGAAACAAACAAAAGGATGAATCACAAATTCGCGTTTGCAACCCGATCATGATGTGGCTTATTGAAACAGGAAACCTCAAATTGAAATGTGGAGAGAGAGAGAGAGAGAGAGAGAGGCTTTCAGTGTTTTATTTTTAATTTCACCGTGTTGCCTATAAGTAGGCTGCTCGATTTCGTTCGATGGTTTTCTTGAATCGGGCTATGAATGGAGATGTTGAATGACACCTGGTTGAGGTTTCGGTAGACATATTGGAGATGGAAAAGTTTTGGATTAGTTTCGGTGGGCGTTGGTATATAAACGTTGTACATGTAATTTTGTTACATCTTTTTTCCGGTTTTTTTTCCGGTCAGAAATGGTTTTTTGGGTGTTATATTTGTAGTGCACAGAGTTAAGGTTTCAATTCTAGCAGTTTGATTGAATTTTCTGATCCAAAAGTGGATCTCAAAAGCCTTTTTTAGCTTTGTACAAAAGTATAACTATTCATGAACGTTTGTTGTTTATTTGAGCTTTTAGGTTATGAAGTCATGCGTTAATACTTTATGGGATGTCATATTTTTTTGAACAAAATAAAATATTGTGATTTTTTTCTTTTCTGAAGTGTATAATATTTATATATGGTAAATGCAACAAATACACTTATATTTCTTCATCTTTGGTGAGGTTTGAACCCCTGATATTCTAAGAGGCTAAAGATTATGATACCTTCACGCCAAAGACCCTTTGGTCATATTATATAAAAATTAGGGGTTATTTGGTTGGTTTCTATTAAGCCTTAATGGATAAGGTTGTTTTTGTGAGTTAATATATTTATATAGATTGAGAAAGTTTTTGTATGAAAGAGATTTTTTTTTTCATAGATGAAAAAAATGTGTTTTTGACAGTGACAAAATAAGTCATTTTTTATATTATTAAACTATTACTAAATAGTCAGGTAAAACTAACCAAATAAGTTGTCAATCTTAGGGGGTGTTTGAGATTGCTTATTTGAAACAACTTATGTTTTTATATAAAAGTCTTTATTAACTTATTATAAGTTAAAATTGTTTAAAATCCAAACTTCTTATTACCGGTTTGATATTAGTATAAGCTGTTTATCCAAACACTCAGAAATGCTTATTATCGATGTCACATCAAAATAAGTCAATAAATTATTTTTGTTAAAGTGGATTTGAAAAATAAAAAATATATAAAAAAGAATAATTCGAAAATATTGATAAGGAAGAATCTAGAAACCGTAGAGGGTTAATTTTGTAATTTACCATACTGTTTTCCGACCCATTTCTGATCATATTCTGTGGAACCGTACCACGAGTAAAAGAAGAGTTCAAAGCCTCACGAGTCTTCATTAAGCTTTCAAGTCGCAGGAGTTGAGATCTTCCATGGAGATGAGTATTGCGAGCGTCAAATTTCCATTAACCTTCAGATCTGTTCTACTGGCTGATCCTAAGATTATCATGATATCTACTCCGATCTGTGTTTCCTCTCGATCAACAACATGCCGGAGGACTTCAGTTATTGTCAACGGGATGGGAGGCGGATCGGCGAAGTATAAAGGAACGCAGATGAGAGAAAAGAAGCTGACGGAGTTGATAGAGGCGAAAGTCGCGGAGGCGACGCAAGTTTGCGAAGGAGATCGTGGTTCCGACGAGTGCAAGGTGGCGTGGGATGAGGTGGAAGAGGTTAGTCAGGCAAAAGCTGATCTCCGACGGAAGCTGGACGAGAACAAGGATCCTTTGGCGTCGTTTTGCGAGGAAAATCCTGAGACGGATGAGTGTCGTATCTATGAAGACTGAAACCTACCGACGGTCGATCGGCCATGTCCTCCGGCAATGTATGTTCTGAACTTCTGATTATCATGTAATTATATGCTAATATATAATTATCGTTCAATTGTGCTACTTTTTTACGATGTGTTTTCTGATTTCGTGTGATCCTGAAAATAATTATCCACAAAATTGGTTCCAATTTTAGTTCTGAACTTCTGATTATCATCTGATTATATGCTAATATATGATTATCGTTCGATTGTGCTACTTTTTTACTATCTGTTTTCCGATTTCGTGTGATCCTGAAAATAATTTATCCGTAAAATTGGTTCCAACTTTAGTTTCATATAATTAAACTGCAAAAATACTCAAAATGACCTAAACTAAAGTTATCTGGTTCTTCTCCTGTTCTCCATTGCCGAATTTACGGGACTCAAAAGAGTGAAGAGTGAAATCCCCAGTTTTAGGATTCTGTGATATTTTTTATTCAAACAACCACACACACACAAATCCACGCCTGGATTATTATTCAAGTATTTAATTATTATTTTTGTGGAAAGAATCTCTGGTTGATTCCTTCATCGTCATCATGCTTATACCTCCAGTTGGGGAAATTGTTCAAAATAGTGATTTCATCTTTATTAAATTTACTTTTAGTCATACTCTACCTTCATCAAGAGTTGCTACTTACAGAGGCCGTGATATTTTTAAAACTTTAGAAGGAAAATAACTAATAAGGTGTTTGAGATTGCTTATAAAAACAACTTATTGACTTATTTCGGTGTGACACCGGTAATAAACAATTTTAATTGTTTGTATAAACAATTTATATCAGTGTCAAACCGGTAATAAAAAGTTTTTGAAGAAATTAAATTATTCTAACTTATAATAAGTTGATAAACACTTTTATAGAAAAACATAAGTTATTTCAAATAAACAATCCCAAACACCTCCTAAGAGATAAATTTGTATTCGATAAAATTTGATTATTTTGAACAATTTTCCGCAATTTGGAATCCGAATAAGAGACTTGTCAGGAGAGGTATATTTACTCTTTCAAAAGAAGTGGATGACCCCAAAAGGGAACATGAATATATGCATATGGGATTCTGGATAAGGGAATATTATCAAGGTACGATCTCTCCAAGTAAATTCAATTTTTAGAAATTTATATTTTAGATGTCTTATATATTTATGTAAATTCGATTTCAGATTAAAAAAAAGAAAAAAAATCTTTACCTCTGCATTTGTGTAAAGTATTTTTTTTAATCTGAAAACAAGTTTTTATGTAAATGCGTAAAGTATTCATGTAAACTCAGGCTAGAATGAGATTTCGGTTCCAAAAATGGTTAAAAAGTGAAATTGGTTGGGAAGATTGACTATTTTGGTCAATTTCCCCTGAATAAGCGGGAGTAGAACGCCAGTGGAGGTGAAATTCCGGATCAAAAGAGGGTGCTATTTTATTTGTATTATGTGTTTTTTATTTTAATTTTACATGCTTTATTTTTAAAGCAGCTATATTATATGATTATACACAATATCATGACCATTAGGTTATTTTGTATGATTAGACTCGCAAGAGAATTATAGGATAGTTAGTTTGCAATAACACATGTATGGCGCTATACCAGCAGGCGTCAAAGGGTTTGTTCCCTACAAAAAATGAAGTTTAGCAAATGCTAAGGATTTTAGTGTCAGGTGGTTATTAGTGGTATTAAGACGGATGAAAGTCGCCTTAAGCGGCAACGAATGTAATCAAAGGCAAAATGTCATGATACCTTTGAAGGGTGATACCTCTGACGGATGAAAGTCAACTGATGGTTTATCTCTGATGTGTATTCATTGTAATTCACTAAAAGAGGAAAAACCTAAGATATTATGGGCTAAAAAATTCAAACATTAAAACCTATTGTGACACGTTCTTATCCATATTATCATATCTTATAAATGTTGTTAAATGAACCATCTTTTAGGTCAAGTTGTAGTCATTTGTATGGTGAAAATGTAAAAAGAGGTTGATATGTGTATTATTTAACGAGAGTTCATTTAGAATCACTTGATGTTCGTGTGTGTGTATATATATATATATATATATATGGTTTTGGTACAATCTGATGTGATATTATCTCCAATCGAAACCAAAGTGCAATCCAACCCAACCCAAACCGTACGGGTTGGTCGGGTTGATAATTTGGTACATTAAAATATTTTTTCTAACCTTGAATATGTTATTTCTCTACTCATATTTTTTTATCATCACCAACCATTTGATACAACGTATCTATATTTCTTACGTATATCACATCCAGTTAATTTTCTCAAAAAAAATATATATATATTCACAGTTACTAAACATATATACGAATGAGTTATATATAGAGATGCAAATTGATTGAAAATATGTGTATATGAAGAGTGTACGTGATAGTGAAATTGTCTAATGTATAAATTAATAGAAATTAACAATCATATTAAATCCAAGAAATAAAAGGATATCGGGTTTATCGGGTTGAGTTGGGTTCAAACAATAGTAATCTAATACCTGCGGTTTGAAAATGTTACAACTTGATTAGACATCATATTGCTTCAGGTTGAGTTATTTTGTGTTGGGTTGAGTTGAGTTGATGGGTTGGTGAGGTTTTTGAGAACCCCTAACTGGTATCATTGACTTTCATGCATTTACCTGACCAACTACCTAATACTATGCAGGCTCATCAAACAACATTTTTTTTAGTTTTTTTTTTTCAGAATTTAACCCAAACTATTCAACCAAAAAAAAAACATATATAATTTTGTATTTAGTAAAATACATCATCTAATTAGAAGATTGCTAGACTAATGAATTAAAACCCATCTTTCTAGAAATAGAAGGTTCGCCAAATATTTACCTTCTATAAATATTATATGCTAAAAAACATATATCTATCTTAATAACTTAACTTAAGATCATGTGAGACAAAATTGTTTTCATGAAACATGATTTTTATACTTGAAACTTTACAACAAAACATTGAATGTAACTTTCGTAGTGTATTTGCTGTGAAGATTCTTTTTTTATCTTCACAATATTTTATTGTGAAATTTTAAGTGTAAAAATCGTATCTCACATGTTTGGCAAAAACAACGTTGTCTCATATGAACCAGCAATAACTTTTAATTCTCATCCACATCAACTTTTTAGAGTGCTTTTTAAAGAGTAAAATACAAATTTGATCCCTGTAGATGATCAAAAATAACACTTTTCATTCTTGCAGTTTCGAATTTTATCCCTTGTTTTAACGACCGCTATTTCTTTTTTGTTAAATGAAAGACGTTTTTGTCATTTTATCATTTTTTTGTCTTTTGATCAATCAAAAACCACACAAACCAAAATAAAAAAATCGATTTTGATTGGGTAAAAGAGAAAAAAAAAATCAAAAAGGACGAAAATGCCCTATATTTAGTGGATTAACAACAATTAGACACGAAGTTCAAATCCAGACGTTTTTACAAACCACAATGACGATCTTATAATTTAAAAATGAACAAATTGCATGAAAAAGTAACGTACTTTAACTTGATTTCTTTTTTTGATAACATACTTTCAAAACTTTCATTTTGGTACCTAAGATATAAAGTTTTAAATATTGAAGTACCCGAGTAATCGTTTAAAACATTAACCAGTTATCATGCTGATATGGTATTCAATGCAGTATTATTTGCTGACGTGGTTAATAACAAGACTTTTTTTAATCTAAAATTAGAACGGTTACCCATGTACTTAAATATTTAAAACTAGATATCAAAATAGAAATTTTGAAAGTATGTTACCTAAAATCCAAATTAAATTAAAATACGTTATTTTTTCATACAATTTACCTTTATTTTTTAAAAACTACATATAACATAGTATTGTTTAAATCATATATATGATGGTAAACCCATCCATCTTCTAATTCTACTTTCAAACTATTCACGTTCCCCACCCCCAATTCCAACCCACATTTCTTTCTTTTTCTATTCCTCCACATTTCTTCCCATTTTTCCTCTTTTCAGCTCTGTTTCCATATAAAAACCCACTTTCTTTTCTTCATCTACATTATGTAGGGTTCATGTATCATTTACTTCACACATATATATAATTACATCTCCCAATTTCTTATGATCCAACCCCAGAAACAATGTATGATCAAGCTTCTATCCGCAGTTGACCCTCTTCATTTCAATTTTCACATAGCTCTGTGCGACGATTAACTTTACACATCACTCAGAAGGTCAAATCACAGTCCAGTAAGTTCCCAAATTCGATTTATTTCATATGGGTTAGGGTCGTTTAATTGGAAGGAAGTTAAAGTCTTTGGATAAGAAGCCGAATTGGCATATGAATTCGGAAATTGGGGGGGGGGGGGTTATAAGCAATCGAAGTTGGGATTAGGGTTTTATGTTGATATGCTTTGTTTTAATTCGAATTGATTTCTAGTTTTAGGTGAATTAAGTTCTCAATGTGCAACGAAGATGTGGATTGAAAATTGTAATCGTCTCTGGATGTCTCATTGTTGAAATATGATTGTTGTTCATGGTAAGAAAATGAGAAAAATTTGAAGTATTCTTTGTTTGTTAACCATGGGTGTCCGGACCAGATTGAGCTCACTTCGACTAGTCCATTGGAAAATCCTCAGTGGATTCGAACCGGTGAGCTTGGAGAATGTCGTGGCCCAAGCTTTATTGTCAGCTGAACTAACCCACAAGATTGAAAACGAAAAAAATTAGGGTGTTTTTGGTATGCAGATTGTACTGGAATGGTTGGTTGATAGGCAGGTAAAAGAAACGTGCAAGGTTTTATTGTTTTAATTTCACCTGGGTAGTTTAGTAATTTAACAAATCTTGTTCCACCTTCTTGATTTTTGTTCCACCTATTTTTGGCCCACTCTGTCCTGTCTTGTCGCCATCTCAATGTACATTCAAGCAACCACTTTTGTCTTATCGTTTCTGTTCCGTGTACCAAACGCACCCGGTTGTAAAAGGTTGAGCCTTTGTATTATATAAGCACAAGATACGGTTCGGTTGATAAAAAATGGAGCTTTTGTACTATTTTCCCTTAGTTTTTTTAGTGGGTATGAGCAAAATATTAACTTGTAGCATACCGGGTACCAATTAACATACAGTCATGAGATATATCATTCTATTCAATAGAAGGGGTTGCTTTCGTATTATAGGAGTCAATGTTCGTGTAGCTTGATTGCACGAATGTTTGTGTAGACAGGGACATGATGGTATTGAGTGGGACAAAAATGCATTTATGTCCCACCAAAATAGGCTGAACAAAAAATTAGGGAGATGATACAAGATTGAGAAATTACTAAACTACCCATGTTAGGTTAAAACCCTAAAACTTTCCACAATTCTTTCACCCGACTACCTCACTCTTTGCTTGTCCAATCCAGTTCCGTTGGAAAAATATGAACTCAACAACAAAGTAACAAGTACATTGTGAAACAAATATATGTTAATTAATACTTTAAATCCTAGTCTTAGATGAAAAAAATAATGTGAAACAATACCATAAGGTAAAAGTTCTCATGGTTCTCAACCTTTTTTGTTGTTCTCATTTGATATATATATATATATATATATATATATATATATAGGAAGTCATGGTGAGAACTGTAAGAAGAGATCTCCACCCTTGGATCAATCCTAATTAAATGTCAACACTAATGAGATGCACCAGATCAATTCCCTTCTAAAGCGCAATTTATGGGTCGGCACGTGATTAAAAGTGATTAATGGTTCGGATCTCTTCTTACGCTTCTCAACATAACTTCCCTTCTCACACGATCCTTCGCCTATAAATATATATATATATATATGTATATATATATATATATAGAGAGAGAGAGAGAGAGAGAGAAAGGATCGTGTGAGAATAGGAATTAAACTGAGAAGTGTAAGAAGGGATTTGGACCCTTGATCACTTTTAATCTCAAACCAATCCATGAATTGCGCTTTAGAAGGGAATTGATCCGGTGTATTTCAGTAGTGTTGATATAGTGTTTCTCTTCAATTAGGATTGATCCAAGGGTGGAGATCCCTTCTTATTTGTGAAGCAAAGAGAGTAGAACGACATAATCCTCCAAAATTTGATAACTAAGGAGTCTACTCGAACACTGGATTATAGTGTGAGTTAAGTACGCGGTCTAATCCTTTCTGAATTTGTCTATCTTCCAAAATGTCGAAATCGTATCTAACCAGCATTCAGCCAAAATCATTAAATGATGGTCCATCTAATTAAGTAACTCCTTAAATAAGAAAGTAGGATTATCATGTTCCCCTGATTGTAAACCCTGGTTCCATTTAGTTAGCAACCTTGAGGCTTCCATGAGCCCCCAATGGAAGCATATGGCTTAGGGGATGTTTGCTTGGTTTTCCATTAAGTCCTGTATGAATAAGGTTGTCTGTGTGGATTAATCTGTCTGTACATATTGGGAAGGTTTTTGTTTGGGAGGATTTTTTCATAGATGGAATTATCATGTTTTTTATTGGAAGAGGCAGGTTTGGAAAAAAACTTGGCTTTCCGCATAAAGCTCCCCCTAGAAGCTTACTGAATAAGCCACTTTCTACATCATTAAGCCACTACCAAACAATTATATATAGCTGATGAAAAAACTTGGCTTTCTGCATAAAGCTTCCCTAGAAGCTTACTGAATAAGCCACTTTCTATATCATTAAGCCACTACCAAAAAATCATGTATAACTGACCGAATGAGCTGCGAGTCTCATTAAGCTAATTAAGCTGTTAACAAACAACCCTTCCTCTCATGTCAAGTGGCTCTTCTTAGCTAAAAAGGTTGCGCCTTTGGTGCAGGGGGAAAGAAATAAAGATCGAGCGTGGATTACAATTGTGATGCTGAATGTTGCTTCCAGTTGTCGGTTTAGGGATGAATTCTGCAATGGATGACATGAGTTTGATTCAGCAGAGACATCATCTGGTGGTTAGGGAGCTCGGAGGCGAAATCGATCTGGAAATCGGACCTGGGGATGACGATCCTTCATTTGCACACGCCCCTCTAATTGGCGTTCCACCGCAAGAGTCTTCGGCTGATGACCATGATGAGAACAAGAATTTAGCAATCGTTTCCCACATTCCAAGTGACGATCAAGAAATCTTGAAGTCATTGCCAGCTAAAAGAAAGAAGAAGGTGGTGAAAAGATGGAGAGAAGAATGGGCTGATACATACAAATGGGCGTATGTAGATGTGAAAGAAGGGACAACACGGATATTCTGCTCGATTTGCAGGGAGTACGGTAGGAAACATAGAAGAAATCCTTACGGAAATGAAGGCAGTAGAAATATGCAAATGAGCGCGTTAGAAGAACATAACAACAGTTTGCTTCACAAAGAGGCTCTTCGCCTCCAATTGGCCTCCAAAGATAAGATCATTGCCGATAAACCCATATACGTAAAAGGTCGGTGCTCATCTTTTCTATTATCAGAATTACGTTAACGTCTTTCTCTATCTGAATCATGGTATTTGTTTGTTTCTTAATTGTTCAGCTCTAATGTCAAAATCGGCTGGATCGATTGTTGAAGCTGCACTAAAAAGGGATCCTAACGAGCTCGAGTTCATACAGTCTGTGCAAGAAGTTATTCATGCTCTTGAACGAGTTATTTCAAAGAACTCGGGGTGAGTTTTCTCATTTGATATATTAACAATAATGTGTTTTGTTAAAAGTTCTTAAAGGTGCGGTTTTTTCTTTGTTTTAGTTATGTCAACACCATGGAGCGGTTGTTAGAGCCTGAGCGTACAATTATTTTCCGAGTCCCGTGGATTGATGATAGGGGTGAAATGCATGTCAATCGAGGGTTTAGGGTCCAATTCAACCAGACTTTGGGTCCGTGTAGGGGAGGCCTTCGGTTCCACCCGTCTATGAACTTAAGTATCGCTAAGTTTCTTGGTTTTCAGCAGGTACGGTTCCTTCTGTTACTCTGTTGTTAAAGTTCGTATTTTTCCAATGGGATTGGACTGGCGAGGTGGGGTAGGCGGTTGAAAGAAGTCTTGAAGGTTTTAGGGTTTTAATTTGACATGGGTGGTTTAGGGTAGGTTTGATAGAACAAAAACAGGGATCACTGTTCCACGTTTGGCGGGACTTTTATCAGTTTATGCGGAACAGACAGGAACATAGTGGAATAAAGTGGAACATACCAGTATAAGCTCAATATAAAACCTAATTCTCTTTTAAAACATCAAATATGTCTCACTCTTTACATTTTATTCATTCTTTAAATTTTATTTATTGTATTTTATGCTCTTTAAAATTTCAATTTACTGTCTTCAAAATATTATTTTTATATGGTTTCTATATTATGATTAATTTATGTAATTTATTAAATAGTTAATAATAAATAAATAATATAGAAAAGGTATAAAATAAAATTTTGGAAACTATATGAACTTTCTAATGATATATTTTGTTATTAAAAATGTTTATTTTTTTATAATTTAATAAATTACATAGATTAATAAAAGTAGATAAACAACTCATTACGGATAAATTGGTCATATTATTCGTTCTGTCATGTCCAGTTTTGTCTTACCAAATGCTGAACAGTTGTTTTGTCCTATCGTGTCCGGATACCAAACGCACCCTTAGTAATTTACCAATCTTCCCCCATCTCCCTTATTTTTGTTCCACCTATTTAAGTAGGACAAAAAAAGCGTTTTTGTCCTGCTCAAGTCCCGTCCCAGTCTGATATCGCGCCAAACGTGGGACAACAAGTTTCTGTACTGTCATGTTCAATCGGGCCCCATGTACCAAATGCACATCAAAAAGGGTTTTTTGATCATTTGACAAACTTTCTTTTATGTTTCACTTCACAGACGTTAAGGACCGCACTATCTCCTTACCGGCTTGGAGGAGCATCAGGTGGAAGCGATTTTGATCCAAAAGGGAAAAGTGACAATGAGGTATCATCTTTAGAGTGAGGTTCAGGGGAAAAACCCCAAAAAAATAAAAAACTGAGGAACACCCTAATAACCATTCATCTGTGCGGTATGTACATATGCATGCAAGTAATTTGTCCGGTATGCACACGTGCATATGCACACGTGCATAGAAACCAGGAAACATCTTCAATTACTTGTATGCACATGTGCATACCGTACAGATGAATGGTTCTTAGGGTGTTCCTTGGTTTTTTATTTTCTTTTGCAATTTTCCGTTGAACTTGACCCATCGTCTTTATATCAATAAACATCTGTTATTATTCCGTGGCTGGGTTATGAACTCTTTGTGGTTCATGTTTGTAGATTATGCATTTTTGCCAAAGCTATATGGATGAACTCTATCGTTATGTGGGTCCTGATAAGGTATTCAAAATCAATCATGTTGTCTAAATTTCGTTTCTTTCGTGTTCATTAATGGTAAAAACGTGTAATCTTTTTCGTTAAAATCTCAGGATCTTCCTTCGGAGGAGATGGGCGTTGGCACTCGTGAAATGGGGTTTCTCTATGGTCAATATAGACGCTTGGCCGGACATTCTCAGGTGGGGTTGCAATATATGCTTCATTTGAGTCCAATACTCCTCAATATGCTTAAATAGTCGAATCTTACACTTCATTTTGGGACGGAGGGAGTGTGTATGTGTGTGAGTGTGTGTATATATATATATATATATATATA